GCTCAAACCCACAAGCTGTGGGATCATGACATGAGCAGAAATCAGGAGTCAGATGCTTAACCGACTGAGCCACCCAGATGCCACAACCTATTGTTCTTTCAATTAGAAATGATGTTTCATCAAAGAGTCAGCTAGTTCTGCTGAACCAACCACATAAGTACTTTTTCTATCTGCTTCATTGTGCCGCAAAAGTGACTCATGCATGAGTCACATCTTGTGACAAGGAATATTAAAAAGATGTGTACTCAAAGGTTGAGATTTAAAGAAACTAATAGTTTATCTGGCTTTATCAAAAAAGTTCTTTTTTTAAATATTTATTTAGTTTTTGAGAGAGGGGTGCAAGGAGGGGGACAGAGGATCTGAAGTGGGCTCTGTGCTGTCAGCACAGAGCCTGATGTGGGGCTCGAACTCATAAGCTGCGAGATCATGACCTGAGCTGAAGTCAGACAACCAACCAACTGAGTGACTCAGGTGCCCCTATCAAAGAAATTCTTAAGTAACTAGCCAATAGTACAGTTTAGTGCTACTGCCTTGATTCATGCTAACGTGCCAGTGGTTTTATGGACAACTGCTTTTGCACCATCAATGCCAATGTCAACACGTTGAGACAGAGAACATCTTAGTATTATTATGAAAATGGTGTTGACCTTGCAGTCCCCCAGAAAGCATCTTGAGGAACTTCAGGAGCCTGCAAACCATACTTTCCAGAGCTTCTGCACAAGCAAAAATGTAAACTATGGAGACAGACCTCAAGATGATCCAGATGTTTGAATTAGCAGACAAGTAATATAAAAACAAAGATGGGGACAAAACATAAGAGAGTCTTAAATGTGGAGCACAAACAGAGGGTTACTAAAGGGGTTGTGGGGAGTTGTGCGGATGGGCTAAATGGGTAAGGAGCATTAAGGAATTTACTCCTGAAATCATTGTTGCACCATAGGCTAACTTGGATGTAAATTAAAAAATAAATTAAATGAATTAGCAGACAAGCAGCTATTATAAATATGCTCAAAATTTTAAATGGAAATGTGCTCAGAATAAGTGATTGATTAAGAAATCTCAGCAATCTGCAGCTCTGAAGTTTAAAAAATTCACTGGATGGGTTTAACAGCAGAATGGAGAGGAGGTGTGCAGCCCACGTTTAAATAGTGGTTACGCTCCTCCTCCCCGGGGGCAGAGTGTCTACGTAAGTTATTTGGAATTCTGCGTTGGAGATTTGTCTCTTCTTTCCCATTTGTTTATTCAAGCATTTATTTAGATCAATGGGATTTATGAATACTTATTTTCCGCTTGGGTTTATAATCCTACACTCCTTTATTTATTTATTTTGTTTCAACTTGTTCCCCATCTGGCCATTGGGGAGGTCTTTCACTTGGTTTCTGAGTCTCTTTGACATATTCCCATGATTGTGGGTTTTTGTTTTGTTTTGTTTAGCACTTTCTTACTTTCTGGCTCTACAACATCCTTCAGGCTCATCTTGTAAATGTTCTATAATGCCCCATCCTAAAACCAGCCATTTCTCCAAGGAGCACTTTTACCGAAGAATGGTATTAGAAACCAAGATCTGGGCACTAAGTGTGCTCACTGCTACTGAGCTGCCATTGCTTCAGGGTCATCTTAGCTGAGAGCAAGGACATATATGTGTACATACTAACCAATGTATACACATGTAACTAAATATTTCTATTGTAATCATCTGCATCTATACTAAGCTAAATGTGAGTTTACACTGATGTTTCCAATGCCATTCCTTTATCACATGGGTGATCCTAGCAGCAGCCCCCCCCCCCCCCCCCCCCACCTGCCTGCCCCACTGGCTTATCTGTGTTCTCCCACTCCAGCAGAGAGAAACTGGCCTCCACCATTTACTCAATTGTCCACGGACTTAAGAAAAAAAAATCTAAATGTTAGTATCCATTGCTGGCATTATTCATACCGAAGCTCCACTTGTCCCAGATTTGGCCAGAAGGATCGCTTTCAGTCTGTGTCCTTTCTCACCTCTGCCATTCTTTGAGCATCTCACTGTATTCTCGCACAATAAGATATTCTGGGCTTGCCTTGTGTTTTCTCTGTCTCAGATACAGAATCAGCCATCTATTGAAGAAGCCATAATCCATATCCTCTTTTTATTAAGACATAATTCTCATACCATACAATTCATCCATTTAAAATGTACAATCCAGGGGCACGTGGGTGGCTCAGTCAGTTAAATGTCTGACTCTTGGTTTCGGGTAAGGCCACAATCTCACGGTTTGTGGGTTCAAGCCCCACGTCAGGCTCTGTGCTGACGGCTCCAAGCCTGCTTGGGTTTCTCTCCCTCCCTCTCTCTATGCCCCTCACCTGCTCTCTCTCTCTCTCTCAAAATACATACGTAAATTAAACAAATAGAATGTACAACTGAATGGTTTTTAGGATATTCTTACAGTTATGCAACCATCGCTATTCAATTTTAGAACATCTCCATCACCCCCAAAGAAGCCACGTATACTTGATCATCCCCCAATGTCCCCATTCCTCCCAGCCTACATGGTGGCCTGTGTCTTCAGAGCCTAGTGTACATGTGCACGTATGTTTGTGTGTATGAGTCACACAAAAATGGCCACTAAGGGATTGGCAGGAGGAAGAGGCAGTATCTGGGAAATTATGACCACAGAGGATCTAATGCAGAGGGTAAGCTTTCCATAGAGGAGGCTAACAGAGGAGTTTCGTCAAGTTCCCCACAGCTGGCAGTGGGGGGTGGGAAGGGTAGGGCAGAGCCCTGAGGATCACTTGAGAAAAGCAGATGATACAAGGTAACAATGAATGATTCGGATTCTAGAGTCGATTATTTGAGGCTTCACTCTGTAATGTATAGCTATGTAACTCTCAGCAATTTAAAGCCTCAGTTTCCCTGTTTGTGCAACACCTATCTTTTGCCTCGTAGGTGGAGGGAGCTCATAGGCACATGTGGTCATTGTTGGTACTTATGAGTGGAACCTGCAAAATCTTGGTAGGGTGTGGAGTGCAGTGTCTGGTCAAGAGGCCTTCTCAGAGGGTGTCCCCTACCATACTGTTTCTGTGGGGACAATGACCTCAGGTGAGGCTTACTGGAACCTTCCAAGACTTGGGGCATGGGGTTTACTGGGTTTGCCATTCAATCATTCCCTCTTGGAGGTGAGTATTCAGGGTAGGTGGGAAAGGGAGAGCTTCTGGAGGAAATCCACTCTGGAGACTTAGAGAACCCTTGAAAAACAAGACTATCTAAAAGCATTAAAAAGAGGCCCAAATAAATTCAGAGGGGCTGTTGTGATTTTTATTTTGGTACTAAAGCATGCGTAAAATTTTGCACCCCTCTTTGAATGTACCGTGACCATTTTTTGTGCCTTAAAGTTATAAATACTTAAAATGCCTATTTAGTACTTAAAGAGCTTTACATTAAAATTAACACAACCATGTGACCTTGAACACAATCGTATACATATTTTTTGTATCATCTTCTCATAGTTTTATATCATAGAACATGTAGATTACAAGTATACCTGTGTGTTACTGTGTAGGTAGGTCATTTAGATTTAACAGGGTATACACAGTTTCCTTTAAAAAAACTTTTTTTTAACGTTTGTTCACTTTTGAGAGACAGAGAAAGACAGAGCACGAGTGGGGGAGGGGCAGAGAGAGAAGGAGACACAGAATCCGAAGCGGGCTCCAGGCTCCGAGCTGTCAGCACAGAGCCTGATGTGGGTCTCGAACCCACAAACTGTGAGATCATGACCTGAGCTGAAGTCGGACGTTTGACTGAGCCACCCAGGCGCCCCTATACACACTTTCTTATACCTATCTTTTATATTGTATCTTCAATCCTGAAGATATAATAGCAATCATTCCCAGGGAGCTTGTGTTGAAAGAGGTCTTTGGTTCACAGTCCCAACTGTTTCTTGTGAAACCTTTCACATTTTAAGGGCTTGTGAACCTTTAGCTCAGGATTCACCAAAATTTTGGTTTAAAAATATAAATTCAAAAACCCTGTGGCAGACTGTGTTCCTGACTATCTGTAATCCCCTAGTACCCAGTAATACAATTGTAGCTGGGTACATGGTTGGCCCGCACGAGGATATTTTTTTAGGCCCATTTTGCTGCCAGGTGTGACCTGCGGAAAGGGGTAAAAGGGACAGGTGCCAACTCTAGAGCTGGGACGTCCCCTCATGTCGTCTGCCTTGCTGGGCCCAGGGAGCAGCCACTTCACACCTAGAGACGAAGGCCCCATGTCGAAGGCGGCAAAGCCATCTTATGTGCCCGGACTGCTAACATTCTTGTCCAAGCCATCACATTCATGGGGTCTCTGATACAGTGGCCCAGCCTTTCCGCTAATATACTACTCGCTTGTCAATTGCTTGGGGCAAGATAGTTTTTCTTTGTAACACTTTACTTAGTTTTGAGAGAGCGCAAGCGGGGGAGGGCCAGAGAGACAGAGGGGGGGACGGAGGACGTGAAGTAGGCTCTGTGCTGTCAGCACAGCGCCCGATGCCGGGCTCGAACTCATGAGCTGCGAGATGATGACCTGAGCTGAAGTCGGGGGCTCAACGGACTGAGCCACCCACGCGCCCCTCAGGCAAGATAGTTTTAAAATATAGTCTTGTTTTCCAAAAGTCCAGAGTTCCACTTTGTTCCTCACATAGCTTTTGCTAGACTAGTTTGTCTCTCCACCTGTGGTTGGTAACATATCGGCAAGTGTCCATTTTACCAGGGACACCTACGTTCTCCTGCGTGTTTTGTGCAACAGAGCTGTGTTCTACAAGGGGTGGCTTCTGCCATTCAGGCCTGGCTGTATTATTGTAAGGGCTCAGGGTTGGCCACTCTGAATCATACCCATTTCATATTACATAGAAGTAAGCCTTAGAAAAATGTCAAGGATGTGGCAAATCAAAACGACTGTCAGCCGCGAGCTTGCTGGAGGCCAGGAGGCCAATCCTATGGACAGATGGGAAGTAATAGTAACAGGATACCCAAAACTCTGGCCCTACCTTCCTCTCCCAAACTGATGCTTCTTGTGCCTGGCTCCTACTCTGCTCCTGGTGCACATCTTTTACTGAAAAAGAGAAAGGAACAAAAGGGAATTAAATTTCATTGGGCGCCTTAACATCTAGGGAGAGACTGTGCAAACGGTGATTAAGAACATGGGGATCGGAGTCAGATACATCAAGGTTCAAATTCCGGCTTTGTGACATACTAGCAGCAGAGTTTGATTAAGTAACTTGATCTCAGTGCCCTCATCTGCAAAATGGGGGTAATAATACCAACTTCAAAGTTGTCTGGACATTAAGTAAAATAACGTATCTAAATGTCTGGAGTGGACTAAGAAGGAAGCTGATAAGTGGTAGTTAATAGTATCTAATCTCTTCTCATTTCCTCATGCCAAAGATTTTGTATGCTGATTTCATCAAGCCTATAAAACATGGGCACAATCCCTCCCATTTTACAGATGAAGAAATTGGAGTTAAAGAACTCGTGAGTGGAAACAGATATCATACTAGCTGCATTACAAATGGAGAAATGGAAGCACAGAGTCTTTAAGTAACTTGTGAAGCAATTATTGAGATCGGATCCGAAGCCGAGTGCGTCTGACTGGACATGTTGTAATGGTCATGGTGATATCTGTTATTTGCATCAGCTTTGAAGAACCAATCCTCACAGACTGGGACATGCTTATGCCTGCTTTCAGTAAGAACCAGTCACAACTGTTCAGGAAGGAGCTAGAGTCTCTACGTTGCCTTCTATACCTTATGCCCTGCTCACCACAGTATAGCTGCCATCTGTCACCACACAACCCTCCTCCAGAACCAGCGACTATTATTCCCTACGCTGTGCAGTGTGGTAATTTCAGTGTGTAACATTCCTGGTTCTACAATAAAATCTTCTAGACGATCACTGTAATTAGATTCAATTATTGGGGCAAAAGAGAGATTACATAGCTCTTTAAAGCAACCAAACAGTCGTTCTCATCTACTTGCTTCTTTTTTCTTTTTAATTTTTTTTCAACGTTTTTTATTTATTTTTGGGACAGAGAGAGACAGAGCATGAACGAGGGAGGGGCAGAGAGAGAGGGAGACACAGAATCGGAAACAGGCTCCAGGCTCTGAGCCATCAGCCCAGAGCCCGACGCGGGGCTCGAACTCCCGGACCGCGAGATCGTGACCTGGCTGAAGTCGGACGCTTAACCGACTGCGCCACCCAGGTGTCCCTCTATTTGCTTCTTTTTAAACAATTTTTTAATGTTTGTTTATTTTTGAGACAGAGAGAGAGAGAACACGCGTGAGTGGGAGAGGGGCAGAGAGAGGGAGACGGAAACTGAAGCAGGCTCCAGGCTCTGAGCTGTCAGCACAGAGCCTGACGCGGGGCTCGAACCCACAAAATGCGAGATCATCACCTGAGCTGAGGTTGGACACTTAACCGACTGAGCCATCCAGGTGCCCCTACTTGCTTCTTTTCTTTAATAATATTTTATTTAGCATCATAGCACTCAATTACAATTTTTTTATCTGTCTTTTAAAAAACGTGATGTTAGTTTCAGGTGTAAAACATAGTTATTTGGCAATTATATGAATCACAAAAGATCACCACAGTAAGTGTAGTTACCATCTGTTGCTATACAATGTTACTACAGTATTACTGACTATTATCCCTGCCCTGCACTTTCTGTGACTTATCTGTTTTACAACTGGAAGTTTGTATGAGGTTGTATTACTTTAAAGTTTATTTATTTATTTACTTTGAGAGACAGCAAGAGCAGGGGAGGGGCAGAGAGACAGGGAGAGAGAGAATTCCAAGCAGGCTCCACGTGGTCAGTGCAGAGCCTGACGCAGGACTCGATCTCAGCAGGAGAGATCACCATCTGAGCTGATATCAAGAGTCAGACGCTCAAACGACTGAGCCACCCAGGCGCCCCAAGATTATATTATTTTAAATAGCATTATGTCAGGTGTTCTGGAACACCTGTATTTGAATTTATAATCTGTTGATGAGCCAACATAAAGATATCAAAGTAATTAGCTTCTAATAAAAGTGTACAACAATTTAGATTGTACAGTAATTCCAACAGCTGAGCTATAAATAAAATTCCTGAGTTTCTCAGCACCAAAGTGAACATGAGTATCAGAAAAGGGGAAAGATGAACTTCTTATCACTTAGGATTTTTTATGCTTACCAAAAGGACAGTCAGATATACATTTAAAAATCATACATAACTTTTACACACACATGAAAAATCACTTAAATAAATTGATCAAGGTATTCCTGAAAAAAAAACCCAAAAACAAGGAAAGGAAAGGGGAAAGATATAAGAAGCAGCCAAGTTTTTCCTTGTCCTCTGCTTCAAGAGAAATTTCAGAAGTGGCACTTTACAGAAGGTAGAATAAAAGGTGCCCTTAACAGCAGCCGCACAGCAGATGCACTCATGGGACCCAGCTGGCTTTTTCTTTCCACTTTGGACAGAGCTGAAGGTATAACGTGGAAGAAGGTTTTGCTCAGGATCCAAACGTGTGGTCGACCTACGGCAGAAATGTGCGTGGCAGTGGGAATATGCTCATAGCAGCATACTTTTCAAACAGTCCTCCTAAGCACACCTTGTCTTGGCTGAGATCTGAGAGAAACCAGGCAGGAGAACATTTCGAACTCCTCTGATGAACACCTACACAAGGAATTGACATTCTGCGTTTGAGGCCGAGGGGAGAGCCATATGCTCTCAGTCCCGCCTCAGCAGATGGCTTGGCTTGAGCCCATTTTGTCAAGACCACGGTGCCTTACCAGGACTCTGGACTCCGGGCAGGCCAGTCCACCTGCTGTTCCCACCCCCTTCTTGAACTCCGCGCAGCATGCCCTGAGGATGTTCACGGGCACGTTTAACGGATGATCTGTGCCTCTTACATACATGGGTAAACGGGAGTCCGGCGCAGAGCTGCTACCCAGCCAGCCAAACGGGAGCTCAAACATTTCAGCTCACCTTTGCAGCTAAGCTGGGACCCCAGGGCGTATGCCGGGGAGAGCGTGGAGTTCTTATGGAACACGGTCTCCTAAACCGTTCCACAGCCTGGGAAAACTACTTCTTCCTGCGTTTGCTGGATGAGCCTTTACCGCGCGCGCCAGGCTGGGGAGGCCTGGGCCACAGGCTCCGGGAACGCTCCGTCATCCGGTCTGGGCGGGGCGAGGCGGTGAGGGGGCGGGGCCTAGGGCGCGGACGGGCGCGGGAGAG